ATTGGTGCAAGGATATTTTTACAAAGTATATTTAAAGAAATTCTTTCGTATACCTTACATTCCATAGAAACTTCTTAAATGTTAAACCTCATACCCATTTGTTCAATTTTCATTATATTTCTCAAAACCTTCCCACTCGAACTGATTATTTCCGGCATTTTTTTTTATACTTTTTATAACATTTTTTATATAATTTTGATCTGAAGTCGAAATATGAAGTTGTTGGGTTCTTTCGAAAGAGTTTAACAAGTGTATAGGTACTAGGCTTCCGAGGATGTTTACATGTTTTTCTTTAAATTTACTTTTCTCTATCCTTTTCCTCTTTACTCGTCCTCATGCATTTCGAGAATTTCCTGAGGAAAGGTGGTTTCCTTGTTGAGATTCCTAACGAAACACAAATCACGACGTGTGTACTCCGATTCGACTGATAACGATGTTCAATTTCAGGTTAACTTCAGATAAACATGAAGCTGCAATTCAATATTTCTCAAATACCGTAAAATGGAAGAAAGGGAAGAAGATAGAGAGATACTTTCAGATGTAAATGGAAAATAAAGATAATAATTATAATAGAGTACTTTCTTGAAATCTGTCACCTAGGGTCAGCCTCCAACAAAATAATTATCCATATACACATATTAATACTAACCTCAAGTTAAGTCAACATTTATTTTATGATGTTAAGTCGTTAATTGAGTTAATACGCAAATATATAGAAAAAACACATATTTAATTCCCCTTATGTGCCTGTTTTCACACAAGCAGACAGCGGAGAGTTAAAAAGTAGAAGCGATGAAAACCATAATAACGAGCTCCCACAGGGACAGAGAGAATGTTTTTTTTTTGTAAACTAAATCTACATATAATTGACCATTCACAAATCATAAGAGCATACATTAGCATTAAAATTTGTTTCGTATCATAATTTCTCAAAAATATGTAATTCTTTTTATTTATTTTAGGAAAATCTATTATTCGTATTTTAACCATATGCGATTATAATTAAGGCATATGTAAAGTGTTGCGTTAGGCACGATTCACCTTAACACATTAAAGGGTTAGATTTACTAAGATTTGTTACTAATCTTAGATTTTTTAAATTATCTGTTAATGAATTTTCTTTAGCGAAAATACATTTAACAATATGTATCCTCAGAAAATCTGCATCGCGCAATCTGACATTGCGTGATACGTTTGATAAGTGTATGTACACATAATACGCATAGAGCTTTAGGCTTTGTGGAATTGTGGCTTTTTTAAGTAACATAAAAAAAAAACCACTGTTACAGTTCGCCGTTAGACTTGCTAATAAAAGATTTTGCACAGACTAATAGAATTGGTAAGGCTACTTGTGGTTTTTACAATGAATTAGAACGTTGTTGTTGATTTTCAAAATTTGTGTAAATTGAATTTAGGGGAAAATGTAATAGGTGGGGTAGGATGAATCCCCATGATATTTAATGAAGCCGGAAGAACGAGAATAATATTATTAAGTTATGCTAATTGTTATACTTCCGTGGGATCTTCATTTTCATCTCACTTCCTCCCCTACCTTTTACTGTTGACGTCAATTTTGACAACTAGGACAAATAAATTTACTTGGTTCTTTATATTTCCATTAATAATCTTTTTTTTTTTTTAAAGACTATAGAAATAATATAATATATTATATATATTATATTCATAATTGCAGTACTATTTTTTGTACTAGTTCCGACATTATCACACCATGGCTTTCGTGCGTATAGCTTTTTGATCCGATTCATCATAGAGATCGGAGATTCTCAGTAAATTGCGGGACATTAAAGCATAACACTTAAAGCCATTTCAACATTAAATTATACATAAATTCATATACATATACCAAGTACGCAGTCATGGTTGATGAAAGCGGTAACACTCGGACGTCCACATTAATTAGTTTAAAAACTGAATAGCGTACCTCAGAAAGGTATTAATTATAATAGAAAATAGTAAAAATAAATCTGTGCATTTAGATAGAGAACAAAATTTTTAATAAAACAATATTAGAGATTCTAGAAATTTATAATATGAGTGTTTATTTTCTTAAGTATCATACTATTCATAGTCGTCCATACGTTTTATGCGCTCCCATTTTTCTCAGATAAGAAAAATAACTGCGATTAACAAAATTAATAAGGTCCCAATGGGAAGAAATTCAAGTAAAATGTCTATGTATATTTCATGTTCTCGTTATTTTATGTTTCTTCTTCTTCCTTCTTTCGGGGCCATTTTTACTCCAAGAGCAATGGGCAATGTTTCGTTCGGTACGGCGAACAAATTTAACATCCACCCGTAGCACACAGGTATTTACAGGAAGTAGAGAAAAGAAAAAGGAAAAAACAAAGAGAAAAGATCGACTTGGAGAAGAGACAGAATTCACCGAAGAATAATTCGATGCGATCGAAGCGCTCAGTAACCTGAATAACAGTATAACGTGCTTCCACGTACCAATGCGGTATCCTCGATGGGTGCAGCTGAATTGTCCGTCCTCGTAAAAATCCCATGAAAATTTCTCTAACTATCATATTTCTCGATTTTATATCAAACTTTATTCTTTTCTATTTTTTATTGTTATCTTCAAAGATCCTCATTCAGATATATGACATTTACTTTTTATTCTTATGAGCACGAAAAAAATACTGTTCTCGTTAATTGAGCATTTTGCACAAGCTGAGAAACCGGTCGGGAAGAATAATAATTTCGTCCCGAAGCGGGCCGCCGCGATACTCACTGCTACGGGTTTGTGGATAGGTAGATACCTCATGCATAGTAAAAACCCCGTCAGATAAGGCATCTCCTTGTGGACTTTCAGGCCCGTGCAAGAGGAGCTAATATCACTTCATGAATGTCTAATATTTAATCCCCACGGTAAAACTAGCCCGAGAATCTAGTTCGCTTCCGCGTCGTCAGAGACCGCCAATTTCGTCTTCCGTAGAAATACCAAAACGATATGAACAAGACGTAAAATGAGAGTAGAGATGATGAAAGGGCACTGTGATTGGACCAATCAGAGTCTATTCAACAATTAACGCTACTTATTTTAAGCCAATGGCATATTAGGTGTTTTAGGCGAAATAACAGAGAAGCAAACAAAAGTATGCTGTATCTATTCTTGGAGCAGCGACGCAAAGCATCATACGTAGCCTATGAGGTTTCTGACTGCGACGACAGAAGCAAACAAAATATAAAATACGAGTATCGTCACTAGCTTGTATCGTTATCATCGTTACTCATCAATTTCTTCCTCACTGGTACCAAAATCAAGAAACAAAAGAGAAGTAAAAAAAAATGATACCCAAGTACAGGGGCTAAAAAAGATTCGTTATGTCGGCTAGCATGAGAATATAGTACACGGAAAAAAGAAAGGACAGTGGAGAAGAGAAAGTGAGAGGGTTGGAAGTGGGAGGAGGGAGAAGTAAAATAATAATAATAATAATGATCGAGGTACAGTGATTTATGTACACAAGGACTGACCAACCGTTACCAACATAAAACACTGCACCTCGCATCCCTCAGGCTGAATTATGAGTGTGTACAATAGTGGCGTGGAAATACGCAGATGATACAGAGAGGTTGGCAGGACATACTACCAACCTCGACATTCATTATTGTCGTTGCACGACTCATACACGAGCCTTTACATTTTTTTCCGGATAAAGGGATTGTGAACTAGAGAACAAAGAAGGAAAAAACAAGAAGCACGGAAGTCACGGGAACCCAGGGAAATAGTTGGAGACACTATGGGCACAAAGGAACAGGAAGAACTAAAGGACGATTCTCTGCAATTTCCTCGAAGATGAAATTCCAGAGGGCACACTCGTATATGTATTTCTCTATCTTTAGTCTGTGGGTGAATATGCATTTATGCTAATGGCATAGTATGTACAAGTTTTTGGCTGTATCTATATGTAACACGTCACTGCCTTCTATATACGGATTAAGACTTTGCAACCTGCCACGTTGTCACACAGCTGCAATAATTAAGGCGCCTGAGTCTCCTAAAAGCCCATAAGCCAAATTTATGAGCGTCCCATTCACACTTTGTGACTTTCGTCTTATGAGACAACCTGGACATCGTTGGAACGTAATCAGCCGTCTACATTATCAGTGACGCATCTTTTCCTTCCTCACATACTCTAGCACCTACTCTAGATAACACAGCATTACTGCTGCTATTTACTTTCGTTTTGATGGACCATGAAGATGCTACTTTGAGTGCCGTCGATGTGTGGACCTGCTATTTCTCTCTACATTGACAGACGCTACTTTAGGCATGTAATCCTATTCGCATGATATCTTCCAAGCGACTTGGATGCACAATTGCTTGTCTGAGGTAGCGATGATTGGAACGGTATTTTCGTTTCTTGGTTTTTTAGTGGAAACTTCAGGTAAACTGTTTTCGACGATTAATTACCCTTTCTGGAATATTTGCATGAAAAAGTTAACATAGTTTCGAGTTGCTGATAAAACGTAACTCGCAGATTTTAACCAGTAACAAGGAGGAATACGAATACGAACCTCAACTAATTTTCACATCAAACATAAATCAAATTATGAATTCAGAATATACGTATAAATTCGAAACGTTTCGATTTCACGTATGCCGTAATTGTGGTATTCGGCCAATAATTACATGGAATTGTTTATAATATGAAATTGCACCTCGTTTCGTGATAGCAACATTTCATTTGCAATGATTTTCATCGAAAGATCTCGGCCCCGAGTCAAATATTTGCTAGCAGGAAACCTGTATATAGGGCGCAACTTCTCCAAAATTATTAATTTTTAAGAGGACAACACCAGGTCTGATTTGTTTCCCTGTCCCAGTTCTTGGCAGCCCCAATTCTTATTCTAATGGGCTGTTCAAGTAAATAATGAAAAATGGTTGAATAGGATAGATATACATATATTTCTAGTCTGTTGCAAACCTCAAACTGGGTCTGCTGTACGTTAGCAGCCAAATCTAAAACTTTAAATCAGCATGCAAGATGTGGTTATTCATTACTCACCCTCGTAAACCCAGTCTGGTACTCCATTGTAGATACTACCGAAGACGCCACTTGTCGTTATCTGGTAGTCAGTAGCGACTTCCGCTTCCGGTCTGTAGTATATGTTGTTCTGTATGACGTGGATCAATGCATTGCCCTGAGGTGCCCATACTGCCAATTGCAACATATAGGTTCCATTAATCCCTAGGGATGTTTCAGTTCTGGAAACAAGAAATAAATAAAAATTATTAGAAATAGTAGTGACACCATTTTATTTATTACTATTTCCAAACTCTATAATGGGACTCAACGTAATATTTTCTATCTCTATTATAAATGTGTCATACGGATACGCGTTGACTATGTTAAAAATACATATGAGACGAGTTAATAAAACAATTGCAATATAAAAGATGTGTATTATTTTTTTTAAGATTATCCCTTTCTGACGATCGTGGGCTTTGAAAAATTTCTTTGTGGCGCACGTAACTACTTGTCGGTGAATAAAATAGTATTGCACGGGGAAAAGGGTCGTGGTTTCTTAAGGGGATGGAGATTTTTACAACCATTCGTAAAAGACGTCTGCAAAAGAGCTACGTAGCTAGTAGTCGATGAAAACCGATAAAAAGTTTCATATCTCCTGAGGACCACAACACGATGGTGGTAACTTGCCGTTGCTCTTCTTCAGTTTCCTTCGCCATTGAAAACATAAAAAAAAGAAGCCCCCCCGCTGCACCATCGTACTGCCGCAGATCCATCCTGATGACATTTCAGTTACAATTCACTTTTATTTTTTGTTGTTGGCAAGGAGAAATGACTGATAAGTTTTTTTTCAAGAAAATCCAATCAATTGTAATTATTTTCAAATTCAAAATTATGGGCTTGCTAGTTATTATAATATTTATGGAAATTAAACTAATCTAAATAAATCATCCGAGGGCTTCCAGTGTTTGACCCTTTTTTTATACTGAATTGCCATTGTAAATTACATTTGTAAATTCTAAGATACACATACGTGAGATATGAGTGCATATCTAAGAAAAATTGCAAGGAAGCATCGACCGTCATTTCGTAGATAATAATTTCAGATAATAATGTTTCTTTCTTAAATCCTCAATTGGTACTTTTCTGTTGATTATTATGAGTAGAAGATAATGCAGAGTATTTTCATGAGACTTTTGTGGAGACTCTTGAAGTATTCTTCATGTTACATCTTGAGAAAGTTTGGGGGTTGTTTAATGTACAAGGAATTTCACGCTGTCCTTTTTTGGTAGCGTGAAACTTCAGAATTTCATTATTGTACTTAACAAATTTTACAGTGACAAATTTTCGAGTTTATTAACATAACATAAAGCGACAAAAAAGAATACACATCAAGCGGCAGATGGATGAGCAAACTTTGAAAATTAAAAAAGAAATTAGAAGAACGTATACGGGGGGTCGTGTACGCTGGATTACAGCCACGAAGTATTCCGACACGTTTATTTAGTGCATTTTTGTTGTACAACGTAACGAAATATCTAATTCTCAAGTGCTGTACAAAAAAAATGATTAGGCGTTGGAATTACTATATTTATTCTGAACGTTAGTACACGAATTACTATATGGACATTATACAAATTTATTATACAAAATCATAAGAACGTGGAGAGGCAAATACCAGCATTTCCATTATTATCGTTCGGAACTACGGCATTGGCTTTTTTAAAATATCGCTCTGTTAAATGTTCTAGAAACACAGGAATTTCTTTGTCGCCTGGGAATTTTCATTGTGTTTTTATTTCAATGAAAGAAAGAGGAGTACGGTAGTTGTTATTTTAATGGTTAAAAAATAAGAAAGGTATGGAAATTCCAGGAAAAACTTGAATCGACTAAAAAAATGTTTTTATTTAATATACATATTATGGTATTCTTATTCTCATATGGCTGGGTCTGGGAGGCAATAAGCTGGGGAAAAGATTTAGAACAATTTATTCAATACTGCACGTCTTACACTGTTGCTCGTACTCTTGCACGCATTGCACTACTGCGTGGCGCTGCCCTCCGTCGGTGGCCACGCTTAGCTCGCTCTTGTACCGCCACCTACTTACACGAGCCACGAAACGCTACGCACCCTACAATATGATTTACGTAAATCTATCAGATTGTTGTACATGTACGTGATTGATTTACGTGTAGTACACAGTGTGGAGTAATGCTATAATCTAGTCACTGAATTTTCTATTAGGCTGAAGGGTGAAAACGACCAAATATTTGCCCAGATCAGTAAATCCTACGGTTTATTTTCCACCTGCTACCACAGGTCAGTGAAAAGGTCATTAGCCCGTTTAAGGGATTGAATTTCAGTGGAGTTTCTGCCGTTTTGCATAATTACATAATAAAAGAAGACACTCACGTACGTTGCATGCGGTAGTGCTTTAAAAAGATGTTGGGAAAAGAGTTACTTGGAGGTATGCAAAACGTTAACAATTTACTGGTGGCGCCGAGTGGCGTTATATTTTTGCAACCAGAGAATTCCCATCCAGTGACACGCGTATACCTTTCGACACAAGATCTTCGGCAACAAAGGGATTCCACTGTGTGCCGTATTAAAGCAGGCTTGGAATCTCGACGGGGACCTTCCTCGAGACTCATCCGGATGATAAGAACGTTCTCACAAAAAGATCGCAAGAACGAGCCAGGACCGCGCTGCCTCTATTTTCTGTCTCTTTTACTTCTCTTTCCTTCTGCCTTCTCTCCTTTGTCCTCTTTTCCTTCCTGTGAACTTAGTTCCATATATGCCAGCCGAGATTTTGAATAAATAGATGCCCTTATTTCTTTATGGCTCGTGTAATACGCGTCTCATTCATTCCATAGACTTTTTTTTACGCTTCGAAAAAACATGTATACGTGTTTATATGTATAACTATACGTTTGAATATATAAAGCGTGTCAAAGAAATATACATACCTAGTTAATTGTAGCACGTAATATCCTTAATACGTATTTTTTTAGTAAATCCAATCTAGTTCCCTACTGGACTAGATCACTCCTAAATAGGACATTGACGGGCCTTTGAATTTTACAATGGATTTTCTATTAGGGACATTGTGTATAATGCCACGTATAACAACGTATTGCGACATACAGAATTACATATCTATAAAATGATATTTTGTGGACACTTCGTATCTTGGAATTACTCTAGGGACATTCCACCCTGTAAAAAGTCACTATATACGTGTCGCGCGTCAATCGCACTTCCTGCTTTGTAGCCATGGCTATAGCATAATTCTTTTATTCCTAACGATACCAACATAATGAAGATTCTTCAAGTATTTTGACAGAAGCATTCCCACCAAGATTTGACATATTTTTTGGTATTATCATTCTTCATTCTTTGTCAATGCTACTATAGTGTCGTTTAGTTCAGACCTGTCGTTTTCAATATAGGCAGTGAAGAGTCACAAAAAAAACCATAGAACGAGAGTAGGAATGGAACGACAAGAAAAATAAGAAGCTAGCGACAGGGAAGCGGCTAGGACGAAACGTACCAACAACGTCTGGGCTGTTCCCGTCAGAGCACGGCCATTGTGACAGGACAAAAGGAGACCAAAGCAATTCTAAAGCCGAAGTAATTTCTTACTATGGCGCCAAGATAAATGGATTTCAAGAGCTAGCTCACACCTTATAACAAACAATGACACTCGAGAGACTCAAGTCGATTTTGTATGAACGCATTTGGTCTCCATTATTTTTATAATATTTGACGATTATTTTTCATTTGATTTCTTCTTAGTCCGTCAACTCAAACAATTTTTACGCTCTTTCAGACAGGCGTTTTACACTTGACTCTTTTGGGGATGAAAAGTGTATATATCGACAATGGGCAACATGTATGCGTTGCTATATTACTATGCATTTAATATGTATTTCGAATATAACACAATGTTTTTATAAAGTAAAATTTTTTTTTCAAGTTGTTTTAAAAGAATTAAGTGAATATACACGATGAGCGAACGATACTCTTAACATTATCTAATGGTACAACCATCGTTCACCGTAACTGTAATATTGCCGAAACTTTTTTTCATTTTTGTGTAAACGTAATAATGTCAACTTTATTACGAATCCCAGTAAATCCGAGGGGAAATAATGGGAAAACGTAATTTTCTCGCTACTGCGTTTTCACGTTCGTTTCACATTACCATTCGTGATATCGTAAGAGTATTTTTTCCATGGAGTACGGAATACCTCATAAGCTTGTCATACGTGACAATACTGTCGTCGATTGAGGACTGTGACGGCGTATTTCGTTTCCTCATGTGGGATATTACCGCGGCACTGGCTCTGGGATTCCAAAGGAAGAAACGAGAGCACGCCCTCGTTTTGCATAGGCATTACGCAACTAGGGGCGGTGAAAAAATCTCTTTTATAAGCTATTCCCATTCTTTTAAGTAGCATTTGCGTACTGTTCATAGGTTGTAAACGGAAAAGGGTGGTAGCAGTAAAAAAATTCATACTTCTCTTGGGATTTGTCATTGACGGAATTATTAAGGGCATTTAGGGTCACGTATGATCCTATGAAAGAATTTAGTGAATTCCAACTGTGCATCGCTCAATTCAAGCCAGGGCAATTGTGTACCAAAAAACTGCATCAATAAATGTGATATTCCAATAACTGTGCAAGAGATATTTCATACAAACAACTGTCTACGATAAACTGTGAACAACATATTTTTACTGACCTGAAACTGTGCACCATAGTTTAATAGCAGAGTATGCACGAGTAGAAACGCAAACCGCCGGAAATCTAGGGCTAAGAAGTAAAAATTTGTTTCTAATGCAGAAATATTGTTTCTTAGATGCTGTTTATAATTATGTAATTGTTTTATTCTTATTATACAAATAAAAAAAAGTGCAATTAGAATGTTTAGTTAAAGCGCCTATTCTTTAAATAACTGGAAAAACATTTGTGTATATATATTATTATTGAACCTCATGGTGTTTTAATTATAAAAAAATCATACCAATATCCTAATTAATAATGTATTATTGTGATAGGTTTGTAAATGGTTAAGTTTGGTTAAATTAGGTTAGATTAGAATTTCAAAATGTTGTTAGGGGTTAGAATTGATTGAAATAGTCTGTGTAAATGTATTAAAAAATGTGCAATATTGTTTGTGTAAAAATATTCTTTACACAGTTACTAATAGACCGTGTACAATTATTGTGCCGCAGTGCGCAATTGAACGATGCACAGTTCGTGGTGCACATTCATTTTTACATTTATTGTTGGACAGTTTTTCGTGTACAATTTTTTGGTGCATAGTTGCCCTGCGCAGAGTTGACATCCGCTCGAAAGAATTACATAGTACCATGATCATATTCGGTATTTGATTAGAGATAATTATAGGATACATAACTATTATGTTATCTATAGAAAATATTACGTTACCGAGAAGTTCAAACAGTGGATTTCGGAAATGAAGAAGAAAAAAATCAAGGTACGCTTTTCCACAGGAATATGCAATTATTCAAAAAGACAAAAATATTTTGATAGTACGCCCATTTTCGTTTGGTGCAAAAGACCGCACTTCATGCTTTTCTTAAGTTCAAAGCAAGAGAGCTTAGCGCAAGGACGCCATATATATATATATATATATATATATATATATATATATATACACATACTAAACGCAGAGAAAGAAAAAAAAAGAGAGAGAAATAAAGACGTCTTTAATCGGGACTCAAGAGCTAAGCTCTCTTAAATGCTAAGTCAGTGTATAAATCTGCGGATGAAACTTCAACGAGGTTGACTTCGTGCACTGACTAAGGGATGCCGAGGAGGAGAGATGGAGGCGAGAAAGTATGCGGGTGGTTGGCAAGAGCCTCTACTACCTTCTCTTCTGGAAGGTTGGCAAAACTGTGAGGATTAAAATCGCGAGCACTTTGTAATTTTCACCTCTCCTTACCTCCCCCCCCCCCCCCCCTCAA